TTCAATTGTTTTTGTTATTCAATTTAGACAAGAAAGATGGATACTGCGAAAATTCGAGTGATTTTTGAGTACGAGTTCCGACGCGGAACTAACGCGGCAGAAACAGCCCGCAATATCAATGCTGCGTTTGGAGAGGGGTCTACTAATGAACGCACCGTGCGATTTTGGTTTAAACGCTTTCGTGATGGAAATTTCGACTTAAAGAACGAGCCACGAGGAAGACCGCCCACACAGGTGAATAACGATGAATTAAGAGAGATAGTGGAAGCCGATCCTAGTCAAACTACCCAGGAATTAGCGGCATGGTTTAACGTTACCTTACCCACAATATTGACTCACTTGCGTCAAATCAATAAAATAAAAAATACGAAAAATGGGTGCCTCATGATTTGACTGATCTGCAGGAAGAAACGCGTGTTGAAACTTGTGTTGCCTTGTTGAACCGGTACAGAAATGAAGGAATATTGGATCGAATTGTAACATGTGATGAAAAGTGGATTCTTTATGATAACCGGAAAAGAAAAATGCAATGGCTGACCCCAGGTCAAATGCCACAACAGTGTCCTAAAGCAAAACTTACCAATAAAAAGGTAATGGTAACTGTTTGGTGGTCTCAGCATGGTGTTATTCACTATAGTTTTCTCCGATCTGGTCAAGCAATAACGGCAGATGTCTATTGTGCCGAACTCCGAACCATGTTGACAAAACTAGCAGTAAAACAGCCCCGACTCATAAATCGATCTTCACCATTATTGCTCCACGACAACGCGAGACCTCACACAGCACGAGAAACCATTTTGACCGTTCAGGAACTGCAGTTAGAAACCATTCGTCATCCTCCGTATTCACCAGACCTTGCTCCAACGGACTACCATTTTTTTCGTGATTTGGACAATTATCTACGTGACAAGAAGTTTTCTTCCCAGGAGGCAGTACAAAATGCTTTCACACAGTTTGTGCAGTCTAGATCGTCGGAGTTCTATCGCAAAGGCATTAATAACCTTCCCATTAGATGGCAGCAATGTATAGATAATAATGGCAACTATTTTGATTAAATAAATTTGTTAAAAATTTAAAAAATAAACAATTTAGATTTTCAGTACAAATCGGCAATTTCATACTTTAACCCCTATTATATAATATTAATGTCAATCAAACTACTAAATCGACCTGCTTATTGAAAAACATAGACGCTTACTCTGTCCTATACAATTAAATGGCATCAGCCCTAAATGACATATGAAATAAACTATATAAGAACACCTAAGTCACCTTTTCCATCAAGACAAGGAAAGATACTGACATTATAAAGAGACCTTTGCTTACCCAGATAAATGGCGAAATTTATTTTTAAAAAATTACGAAGATATTTACAATTTTGATTTCGCTATAACTTCGTTATGGTAGAGGTACAATTTTTTAAAGAATAAGTACTAAATAGTACAATTTTGGGACACTTTTTTGGTACCAAATATGTCGGGATTCGTTAAGATGCACACGGCACACTGAAATCTCGACATATTTTGTCTTTTTTCTCAGAAATTAACTAACAGATCGAGCTGCAGTTTCCTTTACTTCAGAGTAGGTACTATTAAGGTACAATTTTTTGGAACAACAAGTTTTTATAGTTATTAAATAAATACTGGTAATCCGAAGTACACCCGCCATATTGGCAGTAAATACGGCGGGTGTATCTTTGATATTGCTATAACCTCGTTCTGATGGAGGTACTAAATAGTACAAATTAGGTACACTGTTTTGATACCAAATTTGTCAGGATCCGTTAAGGTACACCCGCCATTTTGACTCTCACCACGACTGAACCGTAGACCCCGAGGGCGGCCGCGCCGACACTGGAGGGACGACATCACCCAGGTGGCGGGAATAATGTGGACGCGACTGGCTGCGGAATCGGATGGAGGGGGCCAGTGATGGGTTTTGCAATAAATTTGTTTCTTTGGTATAAAGGCTGCTATTAATATTATTATAAGATTCAACAAATAAAAAAAAAAACAAGTATTCAGCATATATATAAAAATATATTTATTTCAAAAAAGCTTTTTTTATCGTGTACTCTTGGCAAATGGATTCCGAAATAATTTAATTCATCTTCTTAATAAGTATTTTCAAATTGATACAACTTAAAACAATGTCCTTTTTTAACCTTTCATCTCGTATAACATTGTACTTTTTTAAATATTCTTAGCTTAGCAAACAACAAGGCGTACATTGGTGGGTTTTACTTTAGAACATTACTCGAACTTGTCAAAATAAAACGAGAATGTAAATAAAAATACACAATGGTCGCTATGGCCTAAACCCTAGCCCGAGAGGAGTCCCGTGCTCAGCAGTGGAATGTATAAATGGGTAGAAGACGACGCCTTGGTGGTTTTAACTATTCCATGTCACTCCTTATATCCATACGTAGACTTACTCATTTCGAACACTCCATGTGAAAATGACATAACCAACGTACGTACATATACTTGTTATCCATATACAGAGCTTGTATTACCAACTGTAGCTTAAAAACATTTTGTACACTCCACTGCCCTTCCAACCCTCCTTACCCAAAAAAAAAAATTAACATTACGCCATCTTAATTTTTTGATCATTTTTTGTTTATAATGTAAACAACCTTATATCATTTTATTTACTAATATTATGGTACACGAATTTTGTGAAAACAATCAAAAAACAAAATTGAAAAAAAACTAATTGTGTGAAAAAAACAAAACAAAGACCAAAAAATTAAGCTAGCGTAGTGTAAATCAGAGGTATCAATAAAGAGGGCAGCGGACGATTTAATTAAGCAGTTTTTTTTTCATTTTCCCTTAAAATTAATCCAGCGGTGTTGTGTGCTAAACCAAGACAATATATCTTATACATTTTACTTAATACAAGTACCTACCTAAAACTTAAAATTCAAGTTATGACACTTACTTACTACTATGTACAAATTATAATATTACTTATGTTAAGGCAAGAAAAAAGTAGTTCCTTATTGTAATAGATTTTTACTAGACTTAACATTGTCGTGAAATAATGGTAACGTGGTACAGGATAATAATATTCAGGGCTAGAAAATCCATGCCAAATGTTCATTATCAACTGAACCAAAACATACTAAAAAAGCCATTTTTTATTAATAAGTTTTCATAGTAAAATTCCTAGCTGCTCCAGAGCAGAACCTAGTACAGGACAATAATACTATTGGACAGGACAAGAATACTACTGTCATAGTAAATATTTACCTCATAGCGGTGACTACCGCTTCAAAATTCTACAATTTATCATAGATTTCGAAACTTTAAAAGCCTCATGTAAAACCTAGCAAGTATTTGACTAAAGTATCTTAATAGGTATTTGAATTGGCAATTAGAGGATAGTGGAATATTACTAAAAATATTAACCGTTTTATTAATTTAATTGGTCAAAACAAATTTTATTCCAAATTCTCTATGCAATAACCATCGAGTATATAACTGTCATTTAATTTGTTTGAAAACTATTCTGCCATATCATTACAGTGACAACTGCGCTCCGATTGGTCAATTGTTTCACTTCAAATAGACGAGTTTAACTTGAGATTTGCTATAATGGACGAAAATCGAAAAATTACATATTTAATTACCGATGAAATGTGATTCCGTTTGTTTTGTAATAAGATGTTTTGCTGTTTTTCCCACACCACCGAATGGAACAGCCGCCATAGTTAGAGATATTATCTTTATTGCAATAAATACAGAATATTTTTGGAATATACGGAGACGTACACACACAGGTCAGTTGTTGGCGCTGTACTATTTCAGCTTTCTAATTTGTGATTTCAGCGCAAACGAGAGTTGATATTCAAAAGTGATATAAGGCCCATTTTGCTTGATGAGTTGCCAGGGCCATCCCCCTTATTTCGTCTCTGTTTCTGGCTATATACTCGATGGCAATAATTAAACCAACCAATACCTAGCAAATGTTTCCATATTGTGTTTTGATTCTGCCTGCTATAGTAACTTATGTACATAAATATTTAAAGTTAGTAAAGGTATAACACATATTCGTTCTAATACTATTATTTTTCTTACATAAACGTTTAAGAACGACCTTGATTGGTGTTACTGAGCTCTCCAATAAAATTTTGTCTTAAGCACTTACTAGGTTTTGTTATGGCGCAGCCGCTGCATTAGGATTTAAACTCCATCAAGTTAGCACTATGTTGTAATGCGTTATGTAAATATTACCATTGCAGCATAGTATAATGAGACATGGTGCTGTAAGTAACTATAGTATATTTGTGTATACATACACATAAACTTAAGCGCACTCGAGTTACACAGCCCGGGTTCACTCGCTATTCATTATGGAATTGAAGTACGTAACACAGATTACGTAATAGTTACTCCGTAACAGAGACATCACTCTCACACAGCATTTGTTATATATTGTTATTAATTTCACCGTGAATGACTAAGCTAAACAATTTTGGTATCTATAATTAAGAGACAGGGGAGTTAGTTGTTAAAAATAATGGGATTGTTTCATGCTAATGATAAAATATTAATGAAAACGGAAATACGACATTTTAGCTGATATGCAACGTAATATTCCATATACTTCCGCGGAAGTAACGTAAGTATTCAAATGTGCTCACTAATATAAAATCCTATTAAACGACAAATCTGCCGCTACAAATTCTTAAATTATTATATAATTTAACTGTATTGTTTCAGACTTTAGAGAGTTTTTGCATATCATAAGCCTGGTAATAATAACAGCGCAATTGGTTAAAAAGTTATAGTTGCTAATCATATTTCGTCAGGCGTTATTAAAGTTAAAATAATTTGCAGGGGAACTTATTGTGGTGCCATTAATAAGTCAAAATATAATCTACCTAATTTATTTTCAGCCAATCATAATTTACGTATTCGTTTCATGAGAATGTCTGTGTTTTAAGTTCGGAGTCTACGGGGATTTTTTTTAAAGTGACGCATGGCTTTTTTCTCTTACGTACTAGGAGAAGACATAGGCAGATGCCTGACACTATTAGGGTTATTACAGATACAACTACCAGTCCCAGTTGCGCTGCTGCGGTGGAATAAGTTCCATGATACACAAGCGATCTTAGACTTTCTGGTAGTTCTTCTACGCCCTGTAAAAAAAACATTAGGTTAACGAATATTCTTGACCAAAACATATTATGTTATTTGTTTTGTAAAATAATAACAACCTAGCTGGAAAACGTCATAAACAACAATTTTTGTACCACTTTTGACGACACCTATTAAGTAACCTAAAAATAAACTTTTAAGTTTTCGTTAGAATAGAATACATAGAATAGTTGGTTTTCCAGAATAATGTAATTACATAGGTCTTAAGTAAAATTAGGCACATTGTATTTCAACCTGCAAGCAAATGTGCAAATATTTAATGTTTAGTCATTGACTTACAAATAAATGGACGACGGGTCTAATACACAAACCACGAAAATAATGTCCCAAGTCAACCTATTTAAACGTAGTGACATGTAAAGGAATATGAAAAAGCTAAAACGTTGAATTTAAGTTGTAATGTCATCGCAGTACTGTCTAATTTTGCTTGCTTCGCTGTCAGTCGAACAAACAAAGACTAAAGCGTGAATGACGCTCTGTATACGATTTTAACGCCCTATAAGTTCGGACACTTTTTAGCGCGGACCCGACGTCCATATAATTGTAAGTCAATGTGTTTAGTCTCTATAGTTTCTAATTAATGTAAATTCTTTATTACTATAGAACGAATGTGTCAAAAGCCATTCTGGCAATTGTAATTTAAAAGTGTGTCCTTGTAACAATTTAATTTCGTTTATTGTGAATAATTATATACACGTTGTACTATCTGACACTTATTAACTGCCTCCGTGGCCGAACGGTTACCGGACTGCCACGCAGAGGTCCCAGGTTCGATTCCCGGGCTGGGAGAAATGTTTGTATCGCCTACATTTATTTCTCTCGTGAGTTTGTGTGTAATTTGTGGTTGTCTACGTGTGTGTCCATGGCACCCGCGACACAGGGTTTCCCTAGTGCGGGGCTATGTTGAGTGTGTGCGTTATTATATTATATTATTATTATTATTATATTTGGTCACCGGTGTAATCTTAATATTTTTTTTTTTAGATTGCAGACGGAATCCAGTTAATGCGGTATCAAATGCCGCACAACGTTTTCAACGACCCCGTGCTCAACAAGGACAATGACTGTTTCTGTCAAATTGAGCAGTGTCCGCCGAGAGGTGTCATCAATTTATTAGTGGTACGTTATTTATATTAGTGGGAATCGCCATATTTTTGAGACGTCAGAAAAAAACTTTATGTTCATTTAATAAGAGTGCAAAATCCGTTGCATCTTCTTCACTTTTATGGGTTCAATTCCGTATATCCGTAATTAAAAGTCTTATTACCTTTAATATAAGTATTTGTAAAGCTGCAAAAGCGGTAAGGCATTCTATTCATCACTATTAATTTCTTCTTTTTAATAGCACAAAAAGGGGGGAATTATAAATTATAAGTAGGTAAATGTATTTAGTAAAAGCATATAATTTTCAAATAACAACAGGAGACCTATGACACATATAAATATAAATTAAAATGCCTCTGTGGCCGAGCGGTTACCATGCTAGACTGCCACGCAAGAGGTTTCGGGTCCGATTCCCGGGCCTGGAGAAATATTTATATGGCCTACATTTATTCTCTCTTGAGTTTGGGTGTAATTTGTTGTTGTCTATGTGTGTATCCAGTGCGCCCACGAAACAGGGTTTCCCTAGTGCGGGGCTATGTTGAGTGTGTGCGTTATTATTTATTATTATTAACCGACCTTAAAAGAAGATGTTATGTGATTACTCGGGCACAGATTTCGATGATCTTTTTTTGTTGGAAAGAGTTACCTCAGTGTTGGTCCCATTTAAATTCGAAGAAAATATTCCGCCTAGAGCGTTTGTGCACTACGTTGAATACCGAATCCGAGAGTTGACTGTTCCAAATGTCACAGAAACCATTTTATCTCTAGGTGTACAGTCAAAGTCAAAGATAATTTATTCCATAGGTAAAATAAATTTACACTTGAAATCGTCACATTTAAGCTACTGCTCGTTCACTACGCTGACCTCCCTGAGAAGAACGAGCAAGAAACTCTAGGGATTGCTCTTTTCAAATAAACTTAAATGCTATGGAATACACTTTGAATCAAATTTGTGTGGATTCTGGAGCCATGTCGTCTTTCCATACATCTTTATCTAACACGTAGTCTTCAATTTTGTAATATGATTTTTCGATCAAAATATTATTAATGTAGTTTTTAAACTTAGGAAATGATAAACTTAATATATGCTCCGGAATCTTATTGTAAAAACGTATTCAGTTCCCCATAAAAGAGTTGTTTACCTTGGTTAAACGAAATCGTGGTACCATGAGTTTGGACTTAGCTCTAAGGTTAATATTATGGATATCTTCTTTCTTATTGAAATTATGTATATTTTTACGAGCATATAAAATATTTGAGTAAATGTACTGTGATGCCACAGTCATGATACCAGACTCCTTAAACTTTTATCTGAGAGAAACCCGAGATCCTAGACGGTACACAGAACGAATCGCTCGTTTTTACAATACAAATATGGTTTGAATATCTGCCGCTTTACCCCACATGTGAATCCCGTAGGACATTATACTATGGAAGTAACTAAAGTAAACTAGTCTAGCAGTACTGACATCGGTAAGCTCACGTATTCTGCGGACTGCGTATGCAGCGGAGCTTAATCTGCTGGCCAGGGAAGATATATGTGGAAACCATTGAAGTTTACTATCTAAGGTCACTCCCAAGAAGACTGGTTTATTAACAAAGTCTAACTTTTCTCCGTTTATTTCTATGCTTGGACTAGTCGATTTTACGTTAGGTAATTCAAATTTAACACATTTTGTCTTCTTGGCATTAAGCAATAAATTGTTAGCATTAAACCAATAAACTACCTTAGAGAGGGTATCATTTCATTATCACGTATTTTCTCGGATTCGAATTGGACTTAGTGCACAAGCGACATCCGAAGTGGGTCCAAGAGTTCTAGATACCTAAAGTCTCGGATTGTGATCGAATGGGAATGGGATGAAGTACGCTAACGCGCTAACCGTGGCAAACTAGGTGATGAATTCGATTGCACGCACTTTTGGATTTGATTTTTGATTATGTTATTTTAATTTCAGTTTCTATACTTCTTTCTGTCATTCTGTGAACATATATTTACCATGTCTATCCAAGCAATGGGTAGAATAAGTCCTTGTGGCAGGAACGTCATTGAATTGAACATCGCCGTCTTGCGAACTTGAATGTTTAATTGGAGGCTGAAAAAGAAACCTGTGATAAACAGCCTGGTACACTAATAAGTAATATTATTAATACCAAGACCGAACATAAAAAAATTCGGCGCTGTGGCAAAAAGTCGTTAAAAATCACAAATTAAGATCCGCAACAAGCACATAGTAGCAGTGTACTGTAAACTGAGGCGTAGCTTGGGATGCGTAGCGAGATGTAATATAACCCAGTTTATATTACATCTCTTCTCTTGCCTCAGAGATATTTCAAGAATAAAATATAAAAATTTTTCACATCGGAATTGGCGCCTCCACCATTTGTAAACTGAGGCGTAGCTTAGGATGCGTAGCGAGAGGTACTTTTATAAATTTAAACTGGAATAATCTTCAAAACTTGGTTTATTGTACTTTTTTACATATTTTCAGTGTTGGCTTACATCACGAACTCTCAAGATGCTCTATTCTTTCCTTATTTCATTTTTCAAAACACATTCTAATTACAAAACTATATTCACTCAGCCAGTGATTCTACTCATAGAGTAGAGCCTAGACTACAGTACCATCTTACCTATTTCTGCTGCCAAGCAGAAATGTCAGCATTACTACGTTCCGG